ATATATATATATATATATATATATATAAAGGGCTTTATAATCCCTTCCCCCACACTTGCAATGTTCTAAACTCTTAAACCTACGTTAGTTTAACAACATACGTATATGCACTGCACAGTACTGCAAAATTGTATGAGTACTCACCAGCCTTGGTCAGGCTCTGGTCCTGTTCTGATCAGCTCTACAGCCATTGAGCACCAAGACACTTTTAGACAAAGCCGGACCTTCGGATAGCCAGCACAAAACCACGTAATGGTGCTGATCAAGTCCAAATAATCCAGAGGGATCCAGATGAAAAAAGTCCAGGTGAGCTCCGGAGAAGACACCGGACCTCCAAGCGATGCTTCCCAGCTCAAGAGGCTTCATGGGCCTGCAAGCAGCACTCAGATTGACCGATGAGGCTGGAAGTAGTCCTGGTCCAGTTCTGGTCCGGTTCTGATCGGCTCTCTGTGTCGACTGAGCGCCGAAGTCACTATGAACAAGGACCGAACTTTTTAGTCATGTTCGGATCGGATCAAAACTTTCCTTCCATTTCAGCAGAAAGCAGCGGCTGGAAGCACTGTTGGCTTCTGGGTAGTGTAGTTCTTTGACTGGCATTACAGTGGCTTATTGAAAGAAAACTACAAAATGGCGGCGCCTGTCCGAAGAATTTTTTCGTTAACTTTTTATCTCGTACCGTCTCAATCACATGAATACCATTATTAAAGTTGACAAACGTTGACAATTGTTGAAAAACCATGGAAGAGCGAGTCCGCGAAAGTCGAACTGCGAAGTAGCGAGGGACTACAGTAGAGTAGAAACATTTTGGACAATAACTGATCAGTTGGCATCAAACAGAGGTGAGCTCGTATTTAACGCTGATGACCAGCTCTGTGTAACAATCATCTCTGAAACTTTCAGCGCCAACAAAGAGGAAGCTCCTGACAACGAGCAAGAAAAACCCTCTGAGAAAGAAACGATGGAGCGGGCCGCTGAAGACACCGAAATGGTTCGGTCCATTTTCAGCTTCACGTCTTAGATATCTGAAGGAATGCTGCTTTGAAGAACTAAACTCTGAATGTGATGCTGCAGGAGGTGCAAGAGACGAGCGACCACGAGGAAGGAGAGGAGGACGAGGAAGAGGAGGAAGAGGAAATGGATGTGGAGGAGAGCTCTGATGATTCTGACTCGGAGTCAGACGAGAAAGGTATCAATTTCTTTCTTGTAGGTGAAGATGATAAAACTGTTGTAGTTTGACACTCACAGGGTTCTTAATCATTTTAGAAAAAATATGAAATTGGTGTTTTCCAGGTGTGGAATGGTATAAAAATATTAGAGTATGGAACAATATTCTTTATGTTTCAAGGTATTGTTTTCTTTTACTAAACGATATAAGTCCAAGTACCTAAAATTAAAATGTGCAAACATCCATCCATCCATCAATCCTCCGTCCTTTTCTGCCTTTCTTTCTTTCCTTTCTTTTTTCCCCTCCTTTTTACTTTCCGGGTCGCGGGGGTCACTGGTGTCCCATTTTGAGTTTCATTTCACGCTCATTCAAAACAAGTCAACTAAACAAAGTTTTATTGAAGATCATTTGTGTTTTTACTAGAAAAATAATGAAAAATATATTTTGTTTTTCCCCAGAATTTTTATTTCAGCCGTCTTTTTATACACTTTTTTTTTTTAAAACAATTTATGGAGCATGCAAAAGTAAACTTGACAAGTGTTCAAACTTCTCTATATTGGCAGGAAGTTTGTGTATTTTGCATCGAAAAACTATCAAAACTTGAGCATGACATTTTAAAATGAAACGTAAGAACCTTGTTCTTAAATATCTCCACCAGGTGGCGCTGTGTAGTCTGTTTTTGCACATGTCAAACTTCTGCACTTGTAGAAACCACATTTATGCACCAGGTTAAAGGTCTTTGATGAGCTGTTAAAACTAAAATTATTATTATTATTGTTACTCGCCACACTGTCCTCAAGAAGGCTTTTTAAAATATACACTTTTTTTAGGATCTTTATTTTTTTCATCATCTTTTGACATGAGATTTTAGCCACAACAGATCAAGTAAGTAAAGAAAAGTGCTGTGTGTTGTCATCGTTGTATGAGAACATACAACAATGACATTAGTTCTCTGCATTTAACCCATCACACCTGAGTTGCACCCACCATCTCTGCCCCCCGAGATGGTGTAGAGACAGATTTCGTGATCATTTAGACCACATGGATAAAATTGTTTAAAACTTTCTGGATAAATTAAGGAGGCCTGTGGTTAAAAAAAAAAAAAAAAAGTTATTTTTATTTATAGAAGAGCAGATGTTTGTCATATTTAGTTTTCTTACTGAGCTTGTGTCATTTAGTGCTTGCTTGATTGATTGATGGATGGATTGAAGGATGGATGGATTGATGGATGAATGGGTGGATTCATGGATTGATTTATGGATGGATGGATGGATGGATGGATTGAAGGATGTATGGATTGATGGATGAATGGATGGATGGATTGATGAATGGATTGATTGATTGATGTATGGATTGATGGATGGATGGATGGATGGATGGATGGATTGATGGATGGATTGATTGATTGATGTATGGATTTATGGATGGATGGATGGATTGATGGATGGATGGATTGATGGATTGATTGATTGATGTATGGATTGAAGGATTGATGGATGGATTGATTGATTGATTGATTGGTTGGTTGATTGATTGATTGATTGATTGGTTGATTGATTGATTGATTGATTGATGGATGGCTGGATGGATTGATTGATGTATGGATTGAAGGATGAATGGATTGAAGGATGGATGAATTGATGGATGGATTGATGGATTGATTGATTGATTGATTGATGGATTGAAGGATGGATGGATTGATTGATGGATGGATTGATGGAT